GGGACCAGGGCGGCGCGTGTCCGCGGGAGGACGCGACGCCCGTGGACGCCTTTCTGCGCAGACTGGGCTTGTATCGGAAACCGATCGCCGAGGACGGCTCGTGCTTGTTCCGGGCCGTGGTGGAGCAGGTGAGGGACCGCGGCGCGCGGGGCACCATAGCTGGCCGGGCCGCCGTAGGCCGGGGCAGCGCGGGGCGGGCTGCGGTCACAGTGGCCCGTTGTAGCCGGCCCCGCACGGGACGCGCGAGGTGGACCGCCCGTGGGCCCGGTGGCCTGGGCGCGGGGCACCGGGACGTGCGTGTCCTGGCTGCGGTCCGCGTTCACCTGCCCTGGGTTCGGGAGCTGAGATGGCAGCAGTGGCCGCCTGTTTACCGGAGGAAGTGCTGCACCCAGTTCTCCTGGTGGAACGCAGGTCTGTGGCTGGACTTCGGAATGTGGGTGGTCAGGCGTGTCACGCGAAGGCACAGGCTTCAAGGAAGTCAACTTTCTTATATAGGAACTTCTCAGTGAGTTGTCTGAATAGGTCCCACACCACACTATGCCGTAGAAGAGAGGGAGAGCGAGCGAGAGCGAGAGCGCGTGTGCACCGAGGGGCTGAAGTCTGGGCACATCTTCAGCCGAATTTTCCCTTGTTAAATGGTCAAAAGCATTAGTGCCGTTGCTCAGATGTTTCCGGTCTGGTTTTCTTTTGAGCAGAGCGAAGGTAGCTATAATAAGGAAAACAGAGTTCCCAAGAGTGGGAGGGGTTCTGCGGGAGGAATACTGTGATTTGTTTTTTTTTTGAGTGCGTTTTTTCTAATTCTTTTTTTTTTTTTTTTTTGGTCTTTTTGAGACAAGGTCTCCCTTGTAGCCCCCAGCTGGCCTGGAACTCACTATGTAGACCAGGCTGGCCTCTAACTCAGAGAGATCCACCTGTCTCTGCCTCCGGAGTGCTGGGATTAAAGGCTTGCGCCACCACACCCAGCTGAGGGAGTGTTTTTTTTTTTTTTCTCGTGTTACATAACCATATGTTGTAGGTGTGCAGTCACTCACACCTATCCTATGTTTGAAAAATAGCTCCTGAAGTAGTTGGATAAAAGTTCCACTTTACTGCTCTGGTGTATTTCATGTTGCTTTCATTTGGCTTAAACTGGGCTTTTATACATTATTTTTCTCTTTTTGTGTGCAAAATAGTGTTTAAGATTTGTACTTGTAATTATAAATGTTCTTTTTGGCATTCTAGCCTTTTCTCATTTTTATATCATCAGGCCATGCGTTTACATTCCAAAGGCCCGAGTTTTGCATCTGTGTAAGTACAGAACTCTTTAGAACGAGGAAGTGAGACCTTTGTGTTGGAGGGTAGGCAAGGTTCCCAGACCAGTGGGTCTTTTTGTTTGGTAGACAGCTCTCATTTCAAGAAATTTCAGATGCTCCCATGTGGGTGATGTATGTTTACACACCCACCACAGTCCTTACTGTTAATAGATGAAACAGTCCGCCCCATTTTGAATTTTCCAGATGGAGAAAATTCTGTTTCTTCTGTCAGTCTTTTTGGACTTCTCAGCACCTTCCAAAGAAGCAGAGGGAGGGGAAGGCAACTTCCATTTAAGGTGTTGTGTTGGCTTCAGCAGGTGCCTTCAAGGAGCTCATGTGGAGTCGAATTATCTAGGCCCTAGTTAAATTGAAGCAGAAAGGTGTATTTCTGTATTATATGCCTTGGTGAGCTCAGAGTTCTGGGGTCTTTTTTAAATACATTTAAAAAATACAGAGCTAGCCGGGCATGGTGGTGCACACCTTTAATCCCAGCACTCAGGAGGCAGAGGCTGGGGGAATCTGAGTACGAGGCCAGCCTGGTCTACATAGTGAGTTCTAGGACAGCTGGGGCTACAGGGAGACCCTGTCTCAAAAAAAGACCAAAAAATTATAAATATATATAACTACTTGCGCTTAAGAACACATTGACATCACTGAGCAGTTTTTTTTTTTGGTCTTTTTGAGACAGGGTCTCCCTGTAGCTCCAGCTACCTGGAGCTCACTGTGTAGACCAGGCTGGCCTCGAACTCAGAGAGGATCCACCTGCCTCTGCCTCCCGAGTGTTGGGATTAAACGTGTGCGCCACCACGCCCTGCCACTGAGCAGTTTTTTAGTATCTTGTAATAGGATTTAAATCATAGGGACTAGCTTCTCCAGTTTGGGGACTGATTTTGATTATATAGAGCCTAGTTTAGGGTAAAGCTCAGCTAGTTAGTAGGTAATGAACTGTATGAGAAGGCTTGTCTGCCCTCTTAAGACATGTACAGAGGATTTGGTTTTTGAGGAAAAATTCTCCTGTACACTCACAATGTTTGTTTTTTTTTTGTCTTTTTGAAGCAGGGTCTCCCTGTAGCCCAGCTGAGTCCTGGAACTCACTATGTAGACCAGGCTGGCCTTGAACTCACAGAGATCCACCTGCCTCTGCCTCTCAAGTGCTGTGACTACAGGCGTGCGCCACCACGCCCGACCACAATGTATATTTTTAAGGAGTTCAGTAAGCTAAGTATCAGTCTTAAGAGAAGGAACACCCCTCCCTCCAAATTACCTGCTTTAGGTAGGCTCTTTCCTTGTTTTACACTTGTGGATTTGGGCCTGCAGAGAGCCTGACCTGAATCTGCTCCTAACCCTGGAGCTAAAAATAGGGCAGTCTTAGAGGACTTGCTAGAACAGAGTCTCAGTCTTTTCCAGTGTTTATCGCTGTCTTGTCCCAAGTCATGATGTGAAAGCCTACTACTTTTAGCTTCTTTTCTTTTTGTCTTTTTGAGACAAGGTCTCCCTGTAGCCCCAGCTGGCCTGGCACTTGCTGTGTAGGCTAGGCTGGCCTAGATCTCTGAGACCTGCCTGCTTCTGCCTCTGCCTCTGCTGGGATTAAAGGCACATGCCACCAAGCTCAGCTCCTTTAGCTTATTTTTATGTTTACAATAATATGCAAAGGGACATATTTACCAGACCAGAGAATTTAATTCTCAGTGGCCATGGGCCTGAGGAATAATTTTACTTTTTAAAAGTAGTCATTTAGCTTTGTTTTTCTTGTAATATTTGATTTTACAAATTACCCAGGCCCCATACTATGGAAGTTGATGAGAATTTTGCATCTAAGCAAAGGATTCAGATTGCTTCCATGTGCTGAAATCTTTGTTAAAGGAGAGAACCATAAATATTCCTACCATTATTACTGATGGGAAATAAGCTTTATTAACTTAAGTCTGCCACCTGTTGCTAGGTAAATGGCTTTAACCCTAGTGTTGTTGCTTTGCTGGTGTAGGAAAGTCCTGTCAGATGACATTGCAGCCCACTCAAAATAAATGTCTTGATTCATAACAATGTTTAATGTAGCTTCTGTGAAAGATTTGTTGCCAAATGTAATTTGTTGAAATGGTAAACAGTTGGTGCTTTTAGAAATAAATGGGTGTCATCCTGGTGTTGGAAACTTAGACTATGTAAAGCTACTTTTTTTTTTTTTTTTTTTTTTTTTTTTTTTTTTTTTTTGGTCTTTTTGAGACAGGGTCTCTCTGTAGCCCCAGCTGTCCTGGAACTCACTATGTAGACCAGGCTGGCCTTGAACGCACAGAGATCCACCTGCCTTTGCCTCCTGAGTGCTGGTATTAAAGGCCTGCGCCACCACTCCTGGCTATAAAGCTACTTTTTAATATCTTAAGACAACAAGGTAGGTTTACCTAGTTATGCTGGTGAATTGAGAATTTTGGCAGTTGCTAACCTCAACCAGAACATTTTCAGTGTCTTTCAGCAAATTAGAACAACAAACTAGCTGTTTGGGACAGTTGCTGTGACTCTTAACCTGAGAGGTATAACATGTGTATCCAAAGTTTCCCTTTTCTTGAACTTTCTCCATCTTAACATTAGGGAGACTTTAATTGAAGTTGTAATCCTTCAAGCTACATCCTGTTGTAAATTAACAAAAGACCTTGATAGATTCAGATGTATTATTTCAAATGGATGTGGGTGTGGAAGTGGATATGTGGTTTTTAACCTTGACCCTAAAGGGTACTGGGAATACCTTTGAGATAGTTAATAGTAGAAAGTAACTTTATTCTTCTCTTTGAGCATTTGCCTCTGAATGTGGTAGTGTTGAGAGCAAGCATTTGGTAAGACATATGAGTTTGCTTTATTTCAGAGCTCCCAAATTTTCTAAGAGGAGCAAAGTTATTGTAGATGGCTGATAACAGAGGAAAGCCTCTTCAAGGTTCAAAATGTCCACGAAGGAGTGATTTTGGTAACCTGGGGGAGAAATGGTGACCGATTCTTTATAGAGTGATACTTGGCTTTTGGAGTTTTAAGCGTCATGTCATCAACATACTTAGAGGAAGATGTTGGAATGAGTAAAAGATCTTAACGTCACAGAGAGGCAGGGCATGGAGACTTACCTGTCGCTTGTTCTCTCACTTTTGGTGTGAAAGAAAGCGTTAGCTTGGAACTTAAATCCCTCTTAAACAAAATGCTTAATAGTGTGTTACTTTCCATTATAGGTATTGCACTCTCAGTCTCGCCATGTGGAAGTTAGAATGGCCTGTATTCACTACCTTCGAGAGAACAGAGAGAAATTTGAAGCGGTAATTTATAACTTCAGATTTTTAAAAAAATTTATTTCATTTTATGTGTATGCACGTATTGCTTGCATGTAGATAACTGCACCTGTGTTGTGCAGTGCCCACAGAGGACAGAAGAGGCTGTTGGATCCCCTGGAACTGGAGTTAATGGACAGTTGTTAGCTGCCATGTGGGTGCTGGGATTTGAACCCAGGTCTTCTGCAAGAACAACCAGTGTTCTTAACCACAGCCATCTCTCCAGCCCCATAACTTCAGATGCTATGGTGTCTTTACTTACATTTTGCCATCTGGAAATGTTCTAGTGGACATTTCATTGGCTGGAACATTTGTGTGTGTGTGTGTGTGTGTGTGTGTGTGTGTATTTTATTCTTTAAGAATTTCATACATGTGTACAATATTTTTATTATATCCACCCCTACTCCCCTTGAACTTCTCCCCAACACCCTCTTCCAAACTTCATCTCTTCTTCCTGTTTCTCTTTCTCCTCCTCCTTTTTTTTTTTTTAAACAACCTGCTGAGTAGTTAGTGTTGCCTATATATGCCATGGGCTTGAGCCTATCTGCTGGAGCATGGTCAGTGTACCACCATTGGCCACCTACCCAAAGAAAAGTGACTCAGTAGCCATCAGTTGCCAATTGCTAGGGGTGGGGCCTTGTGAGCCCCTCTGGCATCCATGCTGGATTTGACTGACTTGATCTTGTGCAGGTAACCCCAGTTGCTGTGAGTTCCTGTGGGCCCTGTCATGTCCAGAAGGCAGCTTTTCCCAGCAGTCCTCCCCTTCTTCCGGCTCTTACATTCTTTTTGCCTCTTCCACGATGTTCCCTGAGCCTTGGTGAAGTTCAGGAGGCAGGAAATGATACAGCTGTCCCATTTATTATG